AATCCTCAAGGGAGCCGACTGCTTGTCGAACCGCCTGTAAATACTTGATCATGGCCGGATGGGTTGCTTCGTATTCTCCATTGTACTGACTCACTATCAATTGTGAATCAGAACAGGCGTCTATTTTTCTTGCCCCTGCCGCCTTACACATGCGGATCCCGGCTAGTAAAGCTTCATATTCTGCCTCATTGTATGAAGCCTGAAAACTGAAGCGTAGGGCATACTCGAACCTGTCGCCCTCTGGAGATTGACATACGACGCCTGCTCCACAACCATTTGAAGTAGAGCTTCCGTCCACATATACCTTCCAGACTTGGTCTGGAACTTGAGAGTCAGGAGGACGAGTCATCTCTAAAATAAAATCAGCAAAGGCTTGCCCCTTCACTGCTTTTCTAGGCTCGAAAGTAATTTCGAGGCTCTGTATTTCTATGGCCCATTTGATCATTCGTCCTGACGACTCCATGATGGTAAGGGGCCGCTTGATTGGTTGGTCGGTATACACGACGACTGCATGTGCCAAAAAGTAGGGCTTCAATTTTTTAACAGCCATGAAGAGTGCAAGACCAAATTTCTCCACTAGGGGATACCTCAACTCGGCATTTTTCAGTACGTGACTGACAAAGTAGACCGGGAGCTGACAGCCGTCCCTTTCAGCAAGAAGCACCGCGCTTAACGCATGATCAGAGACGGCCAGGTACATGTAGAGATCTTCTTTGGGCAAAGGGCTGACCAGCCTCGGCAAGGAATGCAAGTGAACCTTTAATTTCTGGAAGGCGGCCTCAGCATCCGGCCCCCATTCGAACCTTGCCTTTTTCTTAATTGCCTGGAAAAAGTATAGGCATTTGTCGCCTGATCGGCTTAGGAATCTCCCCAAGGCCGCCAGACAACCCGTTAACTTCTGAACCTCTCGGACGGTACGAGGCGACTGCATGTCAATGACCGCCTGTACCTTCTCAGGGTTCGCCTCTATTCCTCTCTGATTGATAAGGAATCCGAGAAATTTCCCAGACTCAACTCCAAATACACATTTCTTGGGATTGAGCATGACATGGTGCCGCCTGAGTGTGGCGAAAGTTTCTCGGAGGTCCGTCAGATGATCTTTCTGAAGTTTAGTCTTGACAATCATATCATCAATATATGCCTCGACGTTTCTCCCAATCTGATCAAAGAACACTGTGTTTATCATTCGTTGGAAGGTAGCCGGGGCATTCTTAAGACCAAACGGCATGACCGTGTAACAGTACAATCCCTGATCAGTGACGAAGGCCGTCTTCTCCTGATCTTTCTTCCATAAAGGAATTTGATGGAAACCAGAATAAGCGTCCATAAAACTCATCAAGGCATGGCCGGCTGTTGAGTCGACCAGGTTATCAATTTTAGGCAGAGGGTAACTGTCTTTGGGGCACGCCTTGTTCAAGTCTGTGTAGTCTACACACATTCGCCAGGTGCCATTCGGCTTTTTAACAAGCACCACATTTGCAACCCAATCTGGGAAGTAACATTGCCGAATGAACCCTGCATCAAGTAATTTTTTGACTTCGGCGGCTGCCGCCTGACCTCTTTCTTCACCATGGTTCCGCTTCTTTTGCCGTACCGGCTTCTTTTTCGGATCCACAGCGAGTTTATGTACTGCCAGATCAGGACTAATGCCTGGCATTTCATGGACTTCAAATGCAAAGATGTCCTTGTATTCTTTCAACAGATTGTGAAAGTCGTCACCAAGGTTTCTCAGAGCAGTCGTCCCAACTTTGACTGTTCGGTCAGGACGTGAGTCGTCTAAGATCAGGTCCGCATGCTCACCAGCCGGCTGAGGGCGGAACTCATCCGGCCGCTCCTCTGCCAATGATTGCTATTTTCTTGCTTTTCTTGCGGACTCTGTCTGGGACGCCTTTCTCTTTTTGTCGCCTGTTTCTTGAATAGGCGTACTCTCCTTGACATTGTCAAGGTCTGTTTTTTCTCCACTTGACCCAGTGGCCATAACAGTGGGCTTGACATCCGAGAGATAGCACTCTCGGGCCATCCTCTGATCTCCCCTCAGGGAGCCGACTGTTCCATTATCCCTTTCAAACTTAAGCAGCATAAGTGACGGGATTATAACAGCCTTGGAATTATTCAGGGTTGGTCGACCCAGAATCATGTTGTAGGCCGAGAGTTCCTCTACTACTAGGAACCGGACTACCATGTGTCGTCCTTCCCCTTTTTCGCCCAGGCGAATGGGTAGATCTACTCGTCCCAGTGGGTGGACGACTCCTCCTCCAAACCCTATTAAAGGGTGGGAGGCCGGATGTATGCAGTCCGTCTGATATTTCAGTTTTGACAGACATTTGCTGCTGATGAGATCTGAGGAGCTCCCGGTATCTATGAGGATTCGACCAACTCTCTGGTTGGCCACTTTACATTCAATAACGAGAGGGTCGTCATGCGGCCCCCTTATTCCTCCTAGATCCTCTTCAGTGATGACAATCTCAGGAAATGTATATTTGGACGGTCGTTCTTGGTGAACGGAATTTACATCTAACCGCCTTATATTATCTTTGTTGCCCCTAATAGTGGGGCCGCCTCCTGAGAAGCCGCCTGCAATGGTGTAGACGACTGCATCATCTGTATCGGAACTGTCGGCCTGTTGATTCTTTTTGGCCGACTACTTTTTTGAGGAAGCGTTCCCCGTAGATTTCTTGACATAAGTGTCAAGATCACCTTGATCAGCCAAGCGGTCTAGGTACCGCATGAGACTGATGCAGTCATTGGTGTGATGACCAACGTCATCATGATAAGCACAGATTTTGTCTTGGTTCCGGTTGCTCGCAGAACCCTTCATGGGGAGCGGCTTCTCAATTGAGAACCGTCCCTTTATTTCTTTTAGGATAAACTGGTTATCCTTGTTAAACACATACTTTGGGGAGTATGGTTTGAATTCTTTTTTCTTTTTCTGGGCCGGCTGTTTAGAGGAGTCAGCAGCCCAGACCTCTTTTCTTTTCTCATCTTTGTTGGACGACTGTTTCTGTCGTCCTTCTCTTTTGTCGAACCTCTTCCCGTCCGACTGTTTTATCGTACACAGATCAGTCGCCTGTATATAGGCTTCTGCTTCAATCAAGGCCTCTTGAAGAGTCGCCACCCTTTTTCGAACTAAATCAAATTTGAAGGTAGACCCGTCTTTGAGACCTCTAAAAAAGTCAGTATAAGCTACCTCATCCGGTAACCCTTGAATCTGTATTCTCATCAGGTTGAACCGCCTGATGTAAGAACGAAGCCCCTCCTTCTCGCCCTGCTGAATTGTTCCCAAATCAAGGGTCGTTTTCTTCGCAGGGATGTTCATAGCGAAGTTGGAGGCAAATAAGTAAGCAAGCGTCCTGAAGCTGTTAACACAACCAGTCGGCAGGTTGCCGAACCATTGCTGTGCAATTCCCTTGAGAGTCGCTGGGAAACACTTGCACCAAGTGGGATCATCCAACCCTTGAAGGTACATCAGGTTGGTGAATGCCATCAGATGGTCTTCTGGGTTAGTAGTGCCGTCATAGGCGCCTACTAGAACATTTTTTACTTTGGCCGGCTGAGCGGCTTCAGTAATTTCCTTGGAGAAGGCCGACGGCTGTTCACCAAGTCTAAGCAGCCGTAGCTGCCAGTCCATAGGTTGGACGTTTTTTGCTGCAGGTCCACCAAATGGAGGTGGCTGCATAAAATACTGTTTTTGCGGCACAAATGGTAAGTTTGGTACCGCCTGGGCACTATGAAAGCCGGACTGATGGGAGGTGCCGCCTGACTGACTCTCATGGTACGACTGAGTATGCCTCATCGAGGCATTTCGCAAACTGTCCTGAAAATTTGAAGTAGAAGCCGACTCTGATAATCGGTCACTCTTCTTCTGCTCTAGCAGGTGCCGAGCATCTGTGAACGTTTGCTTTGACCCGTCCGCCTGAATATGACGAACCGGTTTCCTATTTCCCGTAGGATAACGGAGTTTTGTGAAATCAAGAGCAGGTGGCTCCCGCTTCTTGGATTTAGGATGAGGAGTCGCCTCTCGCCCTTGAACTGGCTTCCTCTTCAGTGAAGTGGAAGGTTTCTTGGCCGACTGCTCTTTGACTGAAGCAGGCGGTTTTTTGTTGATCAACTCTTGGATCTCTCCCTTGAAGTCCCTCATGAAGGTCATGAGTTCGTTCCTTGTGATGGGAGCAGACCCATCAGTCGGCTGTTGCCGAGCAAGCGGTGCGCCTGCTGGCTCGCTTCCTCTTTGAAGATGCTCCCGTTCCCTCATTTCGGTATGACGGGTACGTCGGGCCCTTAGGGTCCCGTCTGGAGCTGTATGAGTTTCAACTTCAAATTCACTTTCGGTATCATGGTCCGACTGAACTTGAGGGTCGTCTAGGGGACGCCTCTCTTCTGGAGTCGGTACAGACTTGGATGCCATATCTGAAGTACTCTCCCCACAGACGGCGCCAAATGTTTCGGGGTTTTCTGATGTCCTGCGGGAGAGTTACAATTCCGAGACTGGAACCGGACGCCTGTACCTGCAAAATAACGGAGACTCCTGAGAGCTCCGCCTCCAACGGTCAAGTTAGTACCTGATTAAGGAGTAATTAATACGGAAATTGCAGTAATAAGATCTCTCTAGGTGAGAGTGCTCAGTGTTGGTAATCTGCGTCGTTAGCGAGATTAGCCGGTTGTCGATGTTCCGTAATAACTCTGTTCTTCTCTGCTTGAGTTCTTTTTATTTGTTCAAATTACCTAACTAATGAGGATTAATTAAGTATTTATAGCCTTGAGAAGCGTGCAACTCTCTAGGTTTAAAGTAAACCTAGGGCTGATCGGGCCTCTGGACTGGATTGGGCCTTGATGGCCGGTTTTCCCATTTGGCATGGGTGGACACGTGGCGTGCCTCGATTGGTCCGTAGAGGACGTATCTGTGATTGACACGTGGCAGGCTCCTATTGGCCTACGTGAAGGACACGTGGCGGAACCTTGTTGGTCCACTTGTCAGACGGTGATTGGTGGATAAAAATCCCCTAATCAGCTCGCATATTAAATGTCTCCTTACTATGGGCATCAAAGGTTTGTACCCCACTCTCCCATAATTCCTTCAACTTATCTATCAAAGGTTGCAAAAAAACATCTATGTCATTACCAGGAGATTTAGGGCCGGGAATTAATAATGACAACATCATGTTGTCACTTTTCATGCACATCCAAGGAGGTAAATTATAAGGTACTAACATAACAGGCCATATGCTATATCTACTACTCATGTTCGCCCCGAGATTGAACCCATCACTAGCTAAAGCCAAGCGTACATTACGTGCATCTGCAGCAAATTTGGGATATAGCTCATCTAAAGACTTCCACGATTTTGAATCTCTTGGGTGTCTCATAATACTGTCGTCATCATCACCAGCATGTCCTTTATTATGCCACCGCATGTGCATTGCGATCTTGGAGCACATGAACATCCTTTGGAGCCTTGGAATAAGTGGAAAATGGCGCAAGACTAATTGAGGTACTCGTGTTTTTCTATGGACACCCTCATCTTCATCGTCTGAATTCTCATCATCTTGAGAAATATCCTGCTTCCATCGAGGTGCTGAACACTTAGGACATTTAACTTCATTTGAAAACTCCTTTCTAAATAAAACACAATGGTTGACGCATGCATCAATCTTAACATAATCTAACCCTAGCGCTTTAGTATATTTTTTTGCGTCATAAGAGCTTGAAGGAAAATTGTTATCATAATTAAACGCCCTATGCAATGCATTCAATAACATTGAAAAAGACTTATCACTCCACTTGTTGCTAACTTTAATGTGCAACAATGACATAATAAACTCCAATCTCTTAAATGTTTTACATCCTGGATACAAGTCAGCCTCCATATCCTCCACTAATTTTTGGAGCAACATAGGAGTTTCACTAGTGCCACTACTTGATCCTATATATGTGGTTCTTTCATTTTCATTTATTGATGTAGAGTTTATAGAATTCCACGCGCTTGTTGCATCGAAAACATGGAGTCATGTCATCAAAAGGACGATCCTCACTCTCATTATCTGAAACCTCTGCTACATACCCTTGATCTTCATTTTTATCAATTTGCTCTACACTTTCTCCGTGACTCAACCATGGGTTGTAACTACGATCAATGCCATATACTAGCAAGTGGCATAGCATATTTTTACGAGTTTGTGACATAACCAATCTACAGTTAAGACAAGGACATTTCAACATTGTTTCGCCACTTATTCCCCTAAAAGCAAACCGTAGAAATTCATTAACACCCGCTATGTACTCCTTTTTTTGTCTATCCTTTACACCATTATGATTCATCCAACTTCGATCCATATTCATTCTTACAAACAATAATTAAAAAAAAACATTAGCGACAAAAAATGATCACATTAGATAGTTTAGCTATTAACCGTGTGAACAAGAAAATCTTACATCATTAGATTCATCACAAAAACAAACATACCAACACAAGTGATGAAAAATTTGGAGGTTTTAATTTTTTATATAATAGGAACTTCAAGTTAAACTTGAAACTTTATTACTTGCATTATTTATATTGGTCTGTTAAAGTTTAGACTTTAGACTAACTAATACTAAATCTTATGGAATGATGTCGTGCCAATTTAATTGTTTCTTAAGACATTTCTAATTGAATATTATAAATTTGGTTTAGTGCCTAGTATAAAGATATTTGAATTAAAGGGAAATATATCTTTTGAACCCTTTAGATGTAACATACCTAATTATCAATGCAAATATTAATATGGTTATTATGTTATAGTTTTAACTTTTTTTTGACACAAAGTTATAGTTTTAACTGGAATGAGATTGTATAGTGAAAGAATTATGGGGAATCTTTCCTTCCTCAATTCATTAAGCATCCTTGGCTTATATACAAGATTACAAGCGTGAAGTTAGGCAGAGTATACAAACTGATTAGCTAGGAATTAGCTAGAGTATACAAACTGATTAGCTCTAATTAAGGGATACATCTAAAGCTAATTATACTCCTAACATATATAACAAATATACAAAGTCAGAATATATCCCAATATATTCTAACATATAGTTTAAAGATTCTTAACAGGCAGCAGCTCAATTTTTAGGCAAAGACAGCTCAATTACATCAATCTCATTCCATTTTTAAGTATCAAAAGATTGTGCAGGTAGTCAAGTTATCCATCTTTTCTTTTAATACTTTAAATTAGACCCACTGTATGAGAAAAATCCCAAGATATGTCCAACAGAATGAATATTATCAATGCAAATATTAATCTGATTATGTAAATTACATGTAATGATCATTTTAAGTATTGCCTAGATATAAAGTATAATCAATCAACTAAAATTGTAAGAAATTCTCAATGAAAATCACAATAAAATTGTAAATAAAACAACAATACAATTTACTACAAAATTATCAAGAAACTAAACATATCTGAACCAAAAACACATAATCGCAACAAAATTGAAAGAGAATAAACAACGAACCAAAACCATTGTTAACATGATTCATTGATTAATCAATCGACTTTTATAAAAACGCTCAAATTTCCTATAATTCGACAAATAAAATGGGATTTCTACCTTGCATGTTAAATCAATCGACTCACATAGCAGATTATATCAATTCAAAGACCAAATTTCACCCAGAAATGTTAAAAAAAAAAACCGAATTTGTAGATGAGAATTACCTGAATAGATACTCTTTAGATGCGAGTGTAGTGTAAGATATTGTGTGCCGGGAGAGAACCAGACTAGATCGGAGCGGCCACCGAAAAAACCTGATTTGAGGAGAAGATTATGCAATTAGAGGTAGAGTACGAGGGTTTCGTTTTAGGGAGAAGATTGAATTAGAGGTGAGGTGGGAGTTGAATACCTGATTAATTAAGAGTAGTTCATTTTTTTTTTTGAATAGAATTAAGAGTTCATTAGTTTGGGAAAAACCGCGAGAGAACTCTATACTAATTTGTGAACGTGGGAAATTACAAAATAAAAATTAAAATTTCCACCTTATTTTTAAGTTTTGGGCGACTGTAGAATTAAATTAATTTGTCGTTTTATTAAATTTGGGCAACGAAAAAAAAATTGGTAGCCCATATATATATACTCGTGGCACAAAAGTCATATTGGGCTACAGGATTGTATTTCGTCGCCCAAAATATAGATTTGGGCAACGAAATTGGATTAGAAGCCCATATTAACATTTTTGTGCAACGACAACATATTTCGTTGCCCATACTAATGAAGTTCGTCGCCCAAACCCGTTTTTCTTGTAGTGTTATGAACAACAAATATTTACTATGAATATTTACATTATTAACATATAAAATATTATTATGAATATAAGGCATTTAATTATGAACATAAAAAATTGAAGAAATAAAAAATAATATGATTATGAAACATATGCATCATAAGTATTAAAAATATGAACATATGCATTCAAAATACGGACATATGCATTGGTTCATTTTTGAATGCGTATAAACATAATTAAGCATTTCATAATGTGAACATATACATAAAAAAATATGAACATATGAATTTAGAAAGTGAATATAAGCATTTCAGAAAGTTTACAAAAGGATTCAAAACATGAACATAAGAATTCAAAATAGGAACATAGGCATTTCGGAATGTGAACATAAGGTATCCGTTTGATTTCGCTAATTATTTTTACAATTCCAATAAAAATTTCGAACAATAGAGAGTATCGAATAAATATTCAAACAAAATTAAGTGATAATCATATAAATTCAAACAATATTAAGTGAAATTTACATAAAATTGCCTTTTTTTAGGGAGGGTCCTTTTGATTTTGCATCTCTTCTCTAATGCCCATTGATGTTTTTGCAGTTTTTTAGAAAGGAAATGAAATAGAGAAGAGAGAAAGTGAAAAAGAGGAGAGAGAAAATCATATAGAAAAAAAAAAGAGTTTTGAATTTGGAGGTGACGTTACATTTATTGGGTGAAGGTGGGTGTATTGGGTGTGGGTGGGTGTATTGCAGTTTCCGTGTTTTTTAGTTTTAGGGAATTTTTTAAATTGGGTTGTGTGTAATTAGGCTTCTGGGATGCGTTGTTACACCTATCTAAGGTGCACAAGACTAATTGTCCCTTTTAAAGCTAAGTGCGCTCCTATTTTCCTACTGTGTATTAGATCCCCAAATGATTGTATTTGTTGGGGAACCAAAAAAAGGGTCTTTCTCTGTTCGCTCAACTTACAAATAACTTATGGGTGAGAAGGATGAGGAGGGGGGCAGTTGCTCATGTAGTAGGGAAATGAGGAGATTGTGGAATGTGATTTGGAATGAACTTGTTCTTCCCAAGGTCAAGACGTTCTCTTGGAGAGCTTGTAAAGAAGCCTTCCCTACGAATATGGGGCTGCATAATCGAATTGCTAACATCTCTTGTGTGTGGCATTTGTGATGGTGAGGAAGAGGGAGTGATGCACGCTCTCATTAACAGTCCCCAAACAAGAAGTATTTGGGATTCTTGCAATTTTGAGTGCACTACAAGAAAATAATTTTTTCGTAGCGATTATTTTAACCTTTAGTATCGATTGTAATTGCAACAAAAAGCTTACCCAACAAATGGTCGTTCGATACAATATTCGTTTTTCCCTTAGCCTTTAGTAGTGGTTTTCAATATCGCTAGGGTTGATCTCAATAATCGATACGAAAAAACTACATCCAATCGTGAATAAAATAAAATAAAATCATACATATGATCTTTATAAGATTCGAACATGCAACCTCAAACTCTTATATTAAATGTCTCACCAATAAGGTATGGCATATTTTATGTATTCTTTATCAAACAATATTTATATATCTAGTGTAGAAAAGGTTTTTCGTATCTATTTTTGGGATTTAGTGGCGATTATAAATGATACAATTTCTCATAATTTTATAAATGTGTAAAAATAGTGTGGATATGTATTATTATGTTTTCCATATTCGATTTTATATAAGAAAACCATGGCGATTGTAAAATGATATGATTTCTTTAATTATTTCACAAACATACTTGCATATTGTAGCGAATGTACAATCGCTATAAAATAATTGCTACGAAAAGACAATTTTCTTGTAGGGGTGGCTGCTGGAAAAAAAAATGGAGAAACTTCACTGAATAGGCTTTGTTTGTGTTTTCGAAGCTTGAACCTAAGGTGAGAGGCTAGGTTATGGTCATTTATTGGGCAATTTTGGGGTTCGAGGAATAGAGGTCTGTTTGAGAATGAGTGGTCTGATTCAAATAAAGGAACTGATGGCTTATGTGGGGAGAATTATAGGGGAGATGGGGTTGGAAGGAAAAGCAGCACTACTGGGAGCTATCCTAAAACTCGTGGGCAGTGGAAATTTGTGTTGTTGCTAGAAATTTCGATGGTGTGATCCTTTGGTGTGTTTCCTTGAAGAGTAGAGGAGTGTAGAAGACTAAATGTGCTGAAGTGGGACTCTAACTTGCTGAGGAGTTGGGGTGTATTGATGTATCTGGTGGTTGAAAGTGAAAGTGAGAGTGTCATTTAGGCTATCAAAGATGGTGATGCTGGCAATAATTCCTTCCAGCTGCCGTTGGAGGATATCTTCTTTGTTGCTAGCAATTTCAGACATGTTTCTTGGGCTTGGGTAGGTAGAGAAGGTAACACGGTGGCCCATGAGCTTGCTCATTTGTCACCGGGGGGTCTTGACAGGAGAGTTTGGATGGCTGACTTTTCTCAACATATTTGTAATGTGGCTATTTCTGATTTTCATATATATATATATATATATATATATGACATTAAATATTCGTTTGTTGCAAGTAATAAGAACCGGAGGTAGTATATGAAAAATTCACTTTAATAATGTCAAGTATTAGCAATTAACTTTTTATAATCCTAACAAAGGTTTATTATCTAATAATCCTAACTATGGTATGAATTTACCTCCAAGAACCCCAACTGGTCAACAATGAGTCAATGACATGTTATAATAGGTACGTAACTATAACACGTGTCAACACGTGATTGTTCTAAAAAAAATTTAAAAAAATTAATAAAAAAAAAACCCTTAACACCCCAACAACTCCCTCTCCTCTTCCCCCACCGTATTACCAATTTACCACTTAGCCCAACCCTTAACCCCACCTGAACTGACCAGCCGCCCCCTACAAACCCCTAAAATGGTCGGTCGACCCCTCCTTACCCCAAAACCAACGCACTGGTCGGCCAGAGTTCGTCAAGTAGTAAGCTAATTAACGTCAAAATCAGCATAGTTAGCAAAGAAAACACAACAATGGCGACATACGAGGTTACTTATTTAGTGCGTGAGATGATCAGAAAGATGCAATGGTTATTGGCGGCGCTGCTGGTTGGTGTTATAAGACGCAGGCTGTTGGGTTTTATGTGAGATGCGGTGTGGTGGTGCGTGGCTGGTGCGTAGTGGTTGCCGTGATGCTACATGCACGGCTGAACTAGTGGCTTCAGTGTGGTTTCGGAAATCGAAAATGGGTGATAAAGGCCGGCCGACTGTTTTCGGTAAATAAAGGGGGTTGATTGGCCGACTGGTTTTTGGCAAGGTTGAGGGCAAGGGGTTAGGATTAGGATTCCGTTGAGGTCAGGAGGTGGGGTAAGTGTAACATTTAGGCCCTGTTTGGTTGGATGTAAAAGGTTTTCATGGAAAATGAATTTTTCATTTTTTTTCTCATTTTCCTTTGTTTGGTTTGTTAAGGGGTGGAAAACAATTTTTCAAGGGTGGAAAATTTCATCCTTAATGATGGAAAACATTTTCCTTCCAAAAACAAGGGAAGCCACATTTTCCTCTCTACCTTATTACCTCTTTTTTTACTTCTCTCTCATTTATCCTTACATTTCCACTCTTATTTTTTATTTTTCTTGGACTTTTCTTGTATGCAACCAAACAAAGGAAAACTAATTTGCAATTGTGTTTTTCCTTGAAAATATGTTTTCCATGAAAACTAATTTTCCATTGAAAATGTTTTACATTAAACTAAACGGGGCCTTAGCCTAGAGGGAGTAAATCCCTTTTCTTTATCTCTCACCACTCCATCATTATATAATTTCCTTTCAATCACGCCATCAACCTGTCATTTTACTTCAAATTCACATTCATTTTCTTAAGATTGGCTTTTATTAATCCAGTAATATATTACTCTTAATCCAAGCATGCCTTAAATCACATATGGTTATTTATGAGTTTAGATTACTTCATACAAGTTACACATATACATCCTAAATGTCTAAGTTTTTGAGGTTCAAGAATAACTAGCAAACGGGTCATCTGGGCCGGGTTAATTTCAAGTCAGCTAGCATTCGGGTCGGGTATGGGTCAATTTGGGTCAATTCGGGTTTCGAGTATGGTCATGTCGGTTATCGGGTCAAGTTTGGGTTAATTATGTTCGGGTCACACCATTTTTCAGGTGGAGTATGGATCATATTTAGGTTGGGTCATAATGTTTGGGTTGTTCCATTTGTGGGTCAAGCTCAAATATATAATTTTATATTTGTTATTGTAATAATAATAATAAATATACTCATTATGAGCTTGACTACGATCGGAGATGAATAATTTGAGTCATTTTTGGCACTAGATATTTTTGGTTCAGTTTTAAGGTAATTTAAGTTTGGGACATTTTGGGTACCAAATCTATTCTGATCTAACATTTCGAGTTAATTTTAGGTCGGTTCAATTTCGGGTCGGGTTAACTCCATTTTCGGGTCGGATATAGATCAAGTCTTGTAGATTTTATATTTCGAGTCAATTTTGGGTTGATATTTTTTGCGTCGAATCATCGGGTCCGGATTAGGATTGCCATGTCTAGGTTCAAGTAGTCTAAAATTAGCTAATTGGCTAGCTATTTTCTTTTCCATCTTCCGTATTTTCATGGAATTGAAGCTATAAACACGTTAAATGAAGGGGAAAAAGCACAAGAAAAATGCCGTTCAAAAAAAAAAAAAAAAAAAAAAGCACAAGAAAAATGAAGAAAAAAAGGCTAAAAAGCAAAAAATTCAATGCCGGGAACTAATCAAACTTCCCAAATCTTGCTATATTACAACAATTTTTTTTTATATAAGGTAGATATTCTCAAAAATTGATTTATAAAAGGTAGCTTAGTTTTCCACTAAATTCCCACTCCCAATTTTCTAAGGACTTTTAACTACTAGAATTTGTTATGTACATTCAAATGTACTATATATTCGGGTCATTCACTCATTTAATCAACAAATAAGCAAATAACATTTTCACTCATTTGTTGGTTAAATGAGCAAATAATCCTAAGTGTACGACTAGACGGTACATCCAGATGTATATAATAAGTTGTCCTTAAGCGTAGAGCTTTAATTCATTCAATGCAATTACAGAGCAGTAAATCAATTTCTATTCAATTAAAGAAAAAAAAAAAAGCAATTACAAAGCATTATTTTTTTTTTATTTTAATATATCCTCAAATATAAAATCTATGCAATTTATGATATTTTTCTTTCTTTTAACTGACCCCAGAATCAAGTTTCCTAAGGAGTGTAAAGAATCAAGTACTTTGACAAACAAACACTCTGTCCCTCTCTTCCATTCCTTACATGAAAAACCAACACTACATACTTCATCATTCCATCTTCACTTCACCACTCTTCCTTCTCCTCCATGGCTTCTCCCCTCCTCTTCATCTCCCTCTCCCTCCTCCTCTCTTTCTCCTCTTCATCGTCCCTACCGCCATCGCCGCCATCATCCTTATCCAATTATCATATCCCTCAAGTAATCCATTCATTCCTCATACATCTCATCTCATTTTTCTTAATTATTATACAAACTTCTAATTAATTAACTAACTTTGTGATTAATTATAAAAATGCAGAGTTATATAGTGTACTTGGGTGGATCAAATGATGAAGATCAATTTGACATGAAAATTACCGAGTCAGCTCATTCACAATTGCTTTCTACTGTCATTCCAAGGTATGATCAACTCATTTCTATCAGATTTTATAAATTACTATAATATTGAAATTAAATGTTGATGATTTTGATAATGACTATATTATTAAATTAAATTAAAAAATGGATGCAGTTCGGAAAGAGAGAGGATGTCGGTGGGTCATGTATACCATCATACATTCAGGGGATTCTCTGCCTTTCTTACTGCCACTGAAGCTTCTCTGCTTTCTGGTACTGTTCTTTATTCTACTCCCTCAACTTCAGTCTATTTAATTCTTTCATTATCTTTTTTTTTTTTTTTTTTTTTTTTTTGAAGCAAAATTCTTTCATTATCTTATATTCCTTTTTTATTATTATTATTATTATTATTATTATTATTATTATTATTATTATTGTATATACTAGTACGTCCGATATTAGGAATTTAGGATATTAATAGGACTTTCCGTGCTTTGTATGATTATACTTGTAAAATAGGACTTCGTATGAGATCTTATTCAATTATGGTCTTTACACTACATCCGTTTCATATTTTTACAGCTTAGGGGTATTATTTGTGAGTTATAAAATAATACATAATTAAAAAAAAAAAAATGAAACGGAGGCAATATTTAAGTTTAGATTTCTTACATTTGCAATAGATGCAAGATATCTAATGTACTTCCTCCGTTTTTAAATATTTGTTCTACTTTCCTTTTCTTGCTGTTTTTAAATATTTGCTTCATTTCCTTTTATAAAAATTTTTTACAATATTTAATTCATTTCTCACATTTAGTGAACCCAACAAAATACTCTCTCTACTCCTATTCTTCCACTACTTTTGCGTTTTACAATTTTTTATTTTCTCAATTACCCCACTACCTCCATATTTTATTATTTTCTCCAATTTCTTTTAAAACTCTGCACATAGAGAAATGGAGCAAGTATTTAAAAACGGAGGGAGTACAAGTTAATTGCTAGTCAAATTGTCTCACTTAAATAAATAAATAAATAAAACTTTTATAATTTTTCTACTTCAAAATTCTCTTAAATATAGCGATAGTTAAAGTTTAAAGGCTTAAATCTATGTTTTGAAATTTCCTGAAATTTTTTTTTTTTAAAAAAGTATTGACATATAAGAAATGGGTAAGATATTGGGGTTTGGCAAAATTTAGTTAGTGGAACTTAAGATTTGGAAGTGATTGGAAATCGAGTAGAATTTCCTAGACGTGAGTATAAAATTATAATTTTGACTAAAAAAAGTGTGCAATACAGATAAAATTGATTAGTGTAGTGTAAGAAGTGGTAAAGGAAGATGTTATTGATTGAGGTGCAATAATTTAAAATAATAATTATAATAATAAAAAAATGTGAGACAGGTCATGAAGAAGTAATATCAGTGTTTCGTGATCCAAGTTTGGAGCTCCACACTACAAGATCTTGGGATTTCTTGGATCAGCAATCTGGACTTGGAACTCATTTTCAATTTCAAAAGCATGGATTTCCCTCCTCTGATGTCATCATTGGAATGATTGACACAGGTATTTCTAAGCTTCTCATTTATTTCTACTGTTTTCTCGGTTGACACGTGTCTTTATTACAGGTGCTTGTCATTGCACAATTTTAACAATTAATATCTCTAATTTATAAAAATTGTATATTATTATAAAATAAGGGGAAAGGGAGAATATAAGAGGGAGATGTAGATAGACAATTGTGTTGTCTCTATTCATCCATTTCATGAGACATCTATATATATATAATGTGAACAATGTACCTATATAGACAATGAAGAGTACATTCAAGAAGAGTCACAATGTGAATTAAAGGCATATGGAGGTTACAAATGAAATTACAAAGACACTTAAGATAGTCATATTAAAGAGATAGTTACAAGCTATAATGGGCATACATTATTATTTGTAACACTCCCCTTTGGATGCCCATTATCTAAGAGAGATTTAATGGGCTTATATGCCGCCTCATTAAAAAACCTTTTCGGAAAAACCCTGTGGGAAAAAACCATGGATAAGGGAAAAAGAGTGCAGCGCGCAATTACTCCCCCTCATTTTTATATCACTGAAGATCTTTGAGACGACACAATCCAGTATGATAAACTAACTTTTTAAATGTTGCGGTCGGAAGAGTCTTAGTGAATAAGTATGCTACATTAGTAGAATAAATGTAATGACAAGCGGTTCAAACCCCCTAATGACAAGCTGTTTTGAACCGCATGGGATTAGGGGGCTTGCCATTTGCCATTTAAAGGGAAAGCGGTTCAGAACCGCTTGCCATTACTAGAGAAAGGGCAGCGGTTTTGGCGCCAAACCGCTGCCCAATATGGGTATAAAAATTTAATTTTTTTTTTTTGGATTTTTCACATAAATTGATACACAAATCAAACATATGTAAAAGCATTAATATTTTTATTAATTATTTGTTCTAATATTACATTTACATAAAAAAAAAATTAATACAAGTAACACCACCAGCCACGACCACCAACACCATCTCATGTTGCTTCGTACCACCAGCCATGACCACCAACACCACCGGCCCACCACGACCCACCAATACCAGTACACCCACCAGCCATGACCACCCACCACGACCCCCACCAATACCTGAACACCCGTCAGCATCGACCCCCACCAATACACGACCACCCACAAGCCACGACTACACACCAGCCACCCGTCCACACACGACCCCCATCAACACTAAACAACAAATAAAAGAAAAAATACACCACCAACACACACCGGCCAACACCACCACCCACCACGACCCCCACCAACAACAAATCGACCTAAAACAAACCAATTCAACAACCCATCACAATAAAATAAAATTAAAACTGAAAAAACAAAATAAAAGATTAAAAAAAAGGAAATACCTTGAATACAACCAAAAAATCAAAATTGGCTTTAAATTTGGGTTTTATGGGTCAAATTCGACCATAAAAACTCTAAATCTAGAGTTTTTATTGTCGAATTTGACCATAAAAACCCACACGCACCACCACCGTACTACCACCATTTAAACCCACATAAATTGGCTCGAATTGGCTCGAAAACCCACCTGAATTCGCTCGAAACCCCATCGGAGATTTGTTCGCTCGAAAACCCATCTCCGTATATAATTACCTATTTACCTAAGCGTGAGATGAGATAGAAAGATAAGAGTAAAAAAATGGAGATGGAGAATGGAGATGAGAGAAGAAAAAGAAGGAGATGGAGGAGAGCTGGAGAGAGAAGTGAGGGCGTGAAAATGGAGGGGAGGGGGAGAGAGAGCGTGAGAAATAGAGAGGAGGAGGAGAGAGAGCGTGAAAACTGAGGGGAGGAGGAGAGAGAGCGTGAGAAATAGAGAGGAGGAGGAGAGAGAGTGTGAGATTTTAGGGTATTTTTAACAAATGGCAAGCGGTTCATGTTCCAAACCGCTTGCCATTTACAATTTGGGAAGCGGTTCACCCTAAACCGCTTGCCATTTACAAATTGGCAAGCGGTTCACCCTAAACCGCTTGCCATTTACAAATTGGCAAGCGGTTCACCCTAAACCGCTTGCCATTTACAATATTGCAAGCGGAATTCCAAAACCTCTTGCCATTTGGGGTTTCCCATTACGTTTATCCTACTAGTGCTAAATTCTCACTTGAACGAATCTGCAATACATTTATATCTCCATTCTTCTGAAGATCGTGAGTGAAGAAAAATTTGGGTAAGATGTGCTTTGTTCTGTCACCTTTGATGTATCCTTCCTTAAGTTGAGCAATACAAGCTGCATTATCCTCATATAGAGTTTTCGGTGCCTCTTTCTCAGATGATAAACCACAAACTTCTTTTATATGTTGAATTACTGACCTTAACCATACACATTCACGACTAGCCTCGTGAATTGCTAAAATATCAAAATGATTGGAAGAAGTAGCTGCAATGGTTTGTTTCATGGAACACCAAGAAATGGCAGTACCACCATATGTAAACACATATCCAGTTTGTGATCGACCACTATGAGAATAAGATAAATAACCTGCATCTGCAAAACCAATCAAATTTTCTTTGGACAACTTTGGGAAAAATAAACCCATATCCTTCGTACCTTGAAGATAACGAAGTAAATGTTTAATCTCATTCCAATGCCTTCGGGTTGGACATGAACTAAACCTTGCTAATAAATTAACCAAAAATGATATGTCGGGTCGTGTATGACTTGCAAGACACATTAGTGCTCCAATTGCACTAAGATATGGTATTTTAGGACCAAGAATTTCTTCATTATTTTCCCGAGATCGGAACTGATCTTTCTCTACATCAAGTGATCTTACAACCAAGAACCAAAGGGATTCTCAATGGATGTGTTGTATCCAAAGAAAATCTTTTAAACTTTTCCTATGTATGTTGATTGATGCACAAGGATTCCATTCTCTAAGTGCTCTATTTGTAACCCCAAGCAAAATTTTGTCTTTCCAATTTAGATCTTTCATTTCAAACTTTTTCTTCAAATAATTGACAGTCACTGAAATCTCTTCAGGAGTTCTAATGATATTCAAATCATCAACTTACACTGCAATTGTAACAAATCCCGATTCAAATTTCTTTATAAAAATACATGGACTGATAGGATCATTCTTATAACCTTCTTTTAACAAATACTCACTTAGTCGGTTATACCACATACGCCCAGATTGTTTTAATCCATAAAGGGATTTGTTCAATATAATACAGATCGAAATGTTCTTGAGAAGTAGATTTTGCTGATTCTGGTAACTTGAATCCTTCTAGGAGTTTCATGTAAATGTCATTATCCAGTGGACCATATAAATAAGTTGTGACTACATCCATCAAACGTAAGTCAAGTCCTTCTCTTATTGCCAGACTAATAAAAAATTTAAAAGTAGTTTCATCCACCACAGGAGAGTATATCTCCTCATAATTAATATTAGGTCTTTATGAGAATCCTTGTGCAACTAATCATGCCTTAATTATATCTTACAACTTCACCCTTTTCATTTCTCTTTCGCACAAAGACCCATTTATATCCCACTGGCTTTACATCTTCAAGAGTACGGACTACAGGTCCGAATGCTTCTCTTTTTTCAAGAGATTTTAATTCTACTTCAATAGCTTCTTTCCATTTTTGCCAATCATTTATTTGTCTACATTCTTTAATGGATTTTGGATCATAATCCTCATTATTATCCATAACATCTAATGCTACATTGCATGCAAAAACATCATCGATGTCGATTTGATTTCGGTTCCATGTAATTCCAGACATGATATAATTTGTTGAAATTTCTTCATTATCCTGTACCTGAATTTCTTCTTGTATCATGTCTAAATTCTCTTCTGGAGATCATTCCGAAATTGTTTCATCAATTTAACCACATCAGTCAATGCTCCTTTTCTTTTCCGAGGATTCTTATCTTTGAAACCTATTGGTCTTCCACATTTCTGATGTGGTTTAGACTCATTAGCAAATTTATTTTGTCCTTCCGGGACATCTACTTTAAATGGAGCATTTACAGCTAGAATAGGTGACTTGGTCACTCTTTTTGGGTCACCAAATGAGTCTGGCAATTGATTCGCTAAACTTTGTAAATGAATTATCTTTTGAACTTTCAGATCACATTGTTTAGTTCGAGGATCAAGATAAGATAATGATAATTCATTCTATTTAATTTCTTTTTCTAGCTCTCTCTTTTCCCCCCTAATGTTGGGAAAAGTGATTCGTTAAAATGACTATATGCAAAACGAGTCGTAAATAAATCCCCTATTGTAGGCTCAAGATATTTAATTATTGACGGGGATTCAAACCCAACATATATTCTCAATCCCCTTTGAGGTCCCATCTTAGAGCGTTGTGGTGGAGCTATTGGAACATAAACCGCACATCCAAAAATTCTTAGATGGGAAATATTTGGTTCTTAACCATAAACCAATTGTAATGGGGAGAACTTGTGATAACTTGTTGGCCTAATGCGAATTAGTGCTGCTGCATGTAATATAGCATGTCCCCAAGCAGAAATTGGGAGATTGGATTTCATAAGCAATGGTCTAGCAATTAACTGAAGACTTTAAATTTATGACTCTGCGAGACCATTTTGTGTATGAACATGTGCTACAAGATGTTCAACATTTATCCCAATGGACATGTAATAATCATTGAAAGCTTGATATGTGAATTCACCAGCATTATCAAGCCGAATAGTCTTAATAGAAGTATCTGGAAAATGTGCCCGTAACTTAATTAATTGGGCAAGTAATCTCGCAAACGCCAGGTTACGAGTTGATAACAAGGACACATGTGACCATCTTGTTGATGCATTAATTAAAACTATAAAATATCTAAATGGTCCACATGGAGGGTGTATGGGTCCACAAATATCTCCTTGTATGTGTTCCAGAAAACTAATTGATTCAAAATTAATTTTAGCTAGTGATGGACGAATTATCAACTTGCCTTATGAGCAAGCAGCACATGAAAAACTATTATGAAGAATCTGCTGACTCTTCAAAGAATGTCCACATGAATTTTTAATTAATCTTCACATCATTATTGAACCGGGATGGTCTAACTGGCCATGGCCAAACATCAAAATTATCAGTAATTTTTTGGTTTACTATAGCATGAGTTTCAATAGTATGACACTACTAGAATTCGATCAAATTGCGACCGTTAATTTACGACCGTCCAAAAAAGTAGCTAATTATAAGACAATTAAATAGTAGCTATGCGCCAAGAGATTTTTGAAATTTGTTATCCTTAGGCCCCGTTTACTTTACCTTATTTTTGCTTAACTGAAATTATTTTTACTGAAACAAAACTATATTTGCTAAACTTAAATTATTTTTACTAAACTTAAATAAAATTTACTGAACTGAAATTATTTTTGCTGAACTGAAATTATTCTTATTGATTTTCTATCATATTTCTTCTCTAAGATAACTGAATTTTACTGAATTGAAATTATTTTTACTGAATTGAAATTAAGTTTACTAAACCAAACTTATTTTTATGAACAAAAATTATTTTTACTTAATATTATTTTTGTAAGGTGAAGTGAACAGAGCCTTATATCGTCAGAAAGTGATATATGTATTTTAGTTTACATTTTACCACTGAACATGTAGTTGCAAAAGTTCATAATTAGGTTCTGTCCACAAAGTATATGATACAGTAATAAAATAATCAACCTTATTTGTTTTTGATAATCAAGTCATATATATAATCCTACTGCAAATCTATTAACTATTACTAAATTAAAACATTACTAATGTCATCACCGTCTATATGTCACTCACAAAATAACATTTTCCCCCCTAAATATGAGGATGATGTCATTTTCTTTTTGAAATTTAAATAATAGAAACAATGACCTATCAATTTTATCTTAAAAAAATGAAATAATTGTAAATAGAACACTAATATGGACCCCTACATTGAAATATGTATTAGGCGAGGTTGAACAAGTATTATATCATAATTTTGATAAATATCTAAAATTATGAAATTACAAATAATTTTGTATAAGGTGCATAATTCTTAATTATATTTATCCATTTTTTATATAAAATGTACAAATTATAAAAATAGATTATATATATATA